ACGACCATCATCCCACAACAACCATCAACCCACAACCACGTCGATAGCCAGCAGCTTAGATCACATCGTCGCACCCTCATAATAGCCACTACGACGCACCCAGCCCAATCTCCTTGCACTTCCCGTCTACAATTCAACTTCCATTGCTCCCAGACTGCTCGGAGGCTTGACCTTGCAGAAGGAACATCGACCCCACCCTCCGACTCTCATCGACCTCTCCGCCCCCGATCATACCGAACCATTCGACCCCCACCCCGCCTCCGATCCATCACCCTCCTACTCGACACACAATACCCAAACGATGCCTATCATCGTACTCAGCACCCATCTAGAATCCTCCTTCACCAGCTCTGCTTACCCCATCGACCAGAAGCACAATACCAGACTACGGCGAAGTGCAACAGCACATCTCACCATGCGTTTTGTAGACAAAATATCGCCTCAACCGTCTCCGCTGTTCGATCTGATCGTACCGCCTAGACCAGCTAGAGTCAAGCAGATCGAAAATCACATTCGCCTCGACTTCACTGACGGTCCGGTACCCGTCATCCCCCACGTCCCGGGCTGCTCGCATGTGCTTCTCGCCCGCTCCGAAGTATTGGCCGACGAGTGTCTCGACTTCACCGCCTCGGAACATCGGAAGTGTAGGAAGCACAAACCGAGCAGGGAGCTGATTCAAGCTCGAATGGAACAATACCCCGTCAATCATGAGGACAGAGTAGATCACAATCGAACGTCCTTTGCCTTTCCGACGTCGGCACAACGGGTGATCGCCTGGAGGAGATGCATTGAAGGACATGTGATCAGCAACGGCAGGAGCACAAGCGGATCTGGGACTCACTCTGGTCAAGCTCCTGCATCAACTGCCACTCCCTCTTCTGGCGTGTGGCGTAAGCCTCCTCCCTCTCGCCCAACCGATCCACTGGCTCGGTATTGCCTAGCACCCGGTCTTTCCAGCGCCTCCGCCGCCTGCATCCCTCGATCTCGTCGTACCTCGCGGAACGCTCGATTCATGTACCCAACATGGCGTGCTTGTCTGACAGTGTCTTCTCGCTCTGCTAGGCTGATCTCGTAATCAAGGATGTTCCGGCCAAGCTCTGACTTCTCGAAAGCGTTGGTGAGCTCCGTCGAACTGACGGCTGACAATTGACGGGCACGGCGGAGGAAGACAGTGGCGAGATTTATGACCCACTCGGGATAATATTTGGCGAGGGAGGAATAGTGTTTCAGGTCGAATATGAAGCTATGAACGTTATCGAGAACGAAGGGGGGATTTCGCTGCCCAGACTTTACGTATGCGAGGTACGTGTTCCGCCACTTCTTGGCAAAGTTCTCGTCCTGGTCTTGTGACCGCCGCAATCTCTGTTCTTCGACTCGTCGGCCGCAATCTCGATTCTTCGACTCGTCGGAACGAAGCGGTGAACTGTCGAGCGGCCTTTTCGCAGGCTTCGGAATATCGCTTCTGGCGCTCTTCCTCCTCGTTGCTGTCATCGTAGTCGTCGACTAGCTCCTTACGGTGAGGACCTGCATGAGCAGAACTAGGTCCGGTCGTATCTGCCGAGACTCCTGAAGATGAGGCACTGGAAGACCAGTGCTTGGCCCGTCGAAGCGAAGCGCCAGAGCTATCGACCATACAGGCGCCGAAGACTCTTTCCGCCCACCGTATGGACAGCTGGTCAGGGAAAGCTGGGAGCTTGGGTCGATTGGCTTTCCTCTCCTCTTCGTCTTCGCCTTTCGTTCTCCTTGCTCGATAGACCAGCTGCCAAGCTGACGAGCCTTCTTCGGCGACCATGAAGTAAAACTCTTCGGCCAAGATGAGATGAATAGATCTCATCCACTTTGTCGCATACTTGACTACCCAAGGAGGAAGGCTTCTATCACCTCTTCCGAACTCGGCTGTCGCAGCCGTGAACGCTTCATCGTCCGTTAACGGTTCATCTTCAAAGGGTAGGGATTGGACACGTTCGCCTTGCTTAGAAGTCTTGCCCTTCAGTAGCTCGCCCTGCTTGCCTGCACGAGAAGACAGGAAAGGCTGTCGATAGTAACGTTCTCGCATATGAGAGATGAAGGGTTCACCCGGCTTCTCCTTGTCCTCCTCCAACACCGCCTTGACATCTTCGATGACCCTCTGGACAGCGGAAGGAGTCGGGGCGCTCGGAGACCAGTAGCTGTACGCCGTCGCATAAGGCTCCCTCAATATCCGCCGCTCGCGCACAATAAAGTGCTTGTGGCGACCGGGAAGCTGGAGTGCGATGCGGTCGTATCGCTCTTGCTCCCACTGTTTCAGGTCCACAAAGACCACCTCACCCTTCACCGGCCGGATGTTGGTCAGTGGGAGATGGGCGAAACCAAGACTGGCGTGGCGGCGCCGAATCATCGTCCACTGGAAGATAGCACGAAGAGGATCGATGACCATCTTCTTCATCTCATCCCGGTACTCCTCCCATTCTTTCCTGAGCTTGGACGTGCCGATGTCCAAGTGAGCCATGTACCTATCACCCTGGTTGGCGTTGGAGATAGCGGCGACGATGGCTTTCTCCCTGAGCGATACTTCTTTACTGCTCCTGCAGCAGATGACTTATTTTAGACACTCTTTATATTCTTATATCTCCATTCATATCGTAACCTACAACAGGTCATGAGACCTCGGAAAACGTTATGCCTGCAGATATAAGAGTATAAAGAGTGACTACAGTGAGTTATCTGCTACAGGAGAGGCGGGAAAACTTCTCTCGAGCGCGCGAGCGAGTTTCCACTACATGACCCTCTGGACAGCGGAAGTAGTCGGGGCGTTCGCAGATCAGTAGCTATACGCTGACCCATGCAGCTCGCTCGACGCTCGCCGGCCGTTCATGATAAGGTGCCGTGCTCCGTGCAACAACTGTTTTCGCTGTCCAAGGGGTAATCGACAACGTCACATCGAAGCTGGAAGCGGAATGTGGAGAGGAAGAAGTGGATCGTCTCTATCAGGTGAGTTTTCCCTGTGCGTGTCACGCAACTAGACATGTCGTATTATGTTCATGCATATCGTATTCATATTGACCGGATCCACGAGGATTGAGATGAATGTATTGCGATATTACATGGCTATGTTCCTGCTACGACTCAACCCGCAGAGTACGTTTCTTGTCAGAATCATTAGCTTCATGGATCTCAACGATCGTACTATGTACAAGCAGCATGACGTGTATGTATGAGAAACATATGTGTCATATATACAATACGCTGAACTATCATCGTATGGGGCATGACCTATTCTGAGTCTTGGTGTGTCGTCATGGGCCTGATGAGAGAATGAACGATCGGTAAGGGAATTGCTAACGGTTCGAGAGCCGGGAATATCGTTCACGGCTGCGGCATCACCTTGAGTCTTCGCTGGCGTTAACGTCTTTGGGCTTGTCGCTAGCTGAGGAGACGGGTTCTACGATATCTTCGATGCGTTCCATGCTGTTTTGACGGAGCTCTTCTGGGACCTGATTATCGTCTTCGGCGGCGTAATTCCACGCGGATATGAGAGTCTTCCAGGAATCCTCCATGGTAGATCGCTTGATCATGCCCCCATTCTCCTTGGTCTTCCCTTTGGTCGTATCGGCATAGTAGCAGAGAAATTCCCAAATGATCTCCTCGTTTGGGAAGGGAAGCCCAAGCTCGATCCAGTGTTGAATGGACGAGACGGTTTGGGTATTGACGATGATGCCTTTCGGATATTTGGCGGTGAGAAAGTCGTTGAAAAGCTTGAACTTGTGCTCGTGAGCCTTGATCTTGGCGTCTGACCTAGGGGCACGGATACGGCTGGGAGTGCATTGATGCTGGCGAACATCGCTCGAGGCGTGATTCCACTAGCCTCTAGCTTGGCAAGGCCGGTCAATCGCTTGGGCATGGTTGAAGTAGAGTGAAGGGAGGAGCTCGATTGAAGAAGGAGAGTGTCGCTGTCTGATATGATCCGCTGGGGACCCGAGAGCAGGTCCCTGCAGTGACTTGTAGTACCGGCCGGAAGGCGTGTCGAGTGCTTAGAATCACGGGTGGCGTTGAGCGTTGAACGAGGATGGAGAGAGGGGATTGAACGAGGGCCGAGGCAAGCTCAATAGAGGAAGAGTAGGTACTATATTCCCGATGGGTAGTATCTGGTGTTAGCTTGGCTCTAATCACTGACGAGGGCCGAGTGGCCACAGGGCAGCTTGTGGAAGAAGGGAGGATTGTTAATGAATGATAATGAGAAATCAAGGTCACAGACGTGCGAATAGGAGCGAACAAGAGAAGGATACTCGAGCTGGTCAGAAAACGTACAAAGGCTTACTTCTCAAAGTGGGAGTGAATGTGGCTGACGAGAGCGAGCGATTGTTGTGGTAGCCTGATTAGGTGGGTTGATTGAACCAGGTAGAATGCGGATGGATGGAGGAACGATTGCTGGCGGAGATTGCGAAGAAAGACAATACGATGACGAGACGTGCAAAGAGTGCGAGATGAGTGAGACGAAGAAGTGGAATGTAGAAAGTAGTAGGATTGGGGAACAGCATGCAGATCAAGAAATGGTCACGTCAGGATAGCACAGTAGAGTTGACTGGATCACCGATGGATCATACATCGGGGGCGGCGTCGTGCACGGACCTGACACACGCATTCCATCAGACCAAATCAGGACGTGATCGTCAGCATAAGATCCCTCCTTTTCGATGTCGCTGAAAACACTATACGTTCACTCGACATATTCAGCGTGACCGTGAACGTCCTCTTGCAAATAGCCCTCTGGTCGTTACAACGCATGACAAAGCTGTGGTAGCGCATTATTTGACCTTGCTATCGTTGTCCATGCTATCTTCGTCATAGGCATAGAGCGTCCCACAGCTCTACCACCACAGAGCCCGGGGTCATAGCAGGAAGTTGATCCAATAATTCTGCTACAATGGCAAGCAGATGTCATTAGCCTTATATACAACGTGGAATTTCGAAAAACACCAGCTCGGAACCGCGCCCGAGTGGCGAAATGGTTAACGAGTAGGACCCGAGTGGCGAAATGGTTACCGCGTCTGCCTTCTAGGAAAAAATCGCCTAAGCAGAAGACTGCGGGTTCGAGTCCCGCCTTGGGTTGGTTTTTTTGGCGCTCTACGGTGGGGATTTTTCGATTTTTGTACAATGTGGCGGTGCCGAAGTGACCTTTCCCCCCACTTAAGGGTCGAATGTGGCACTTTTTTTGAGCGGCCAAACCGCTTCGTCACGGCATCCGGACTTTTTATTGCTTTCCAGACAACGTTTCGATGCTATTGATCAACATCATATTGCGAAACAAGACATTGTTTGCCCATACTCAGCCCGAACAACATCGCCTCGACCAAGATAGACCGCTCGCCTTCGCGTGGACACTTCGGAAGCAGACTAAACACGACACCCAGGCCAAAATGAGACCCACACCACCAACAATGGTATGTCGATTTCGACGTTGATGATGTTATGATCACATTGGGGCGACGGCGGGAAGTGCGAGGGTTGAGCTTGATGGATGGATGTATGATATTTATTATCAAGAGCTCGGATGAGGGATGAGAATCACACTGCATGGGCCCGGATAATCGGGGATGGCCAGGGAGAGAAACGGGATCCGGAACACAGCGTAGGAGGTAAACGGTGTCGGATATGGTGCGGGACGGCTTTTGGGGAGACGGAAAGTGGGGACGATATGGGAATGTCGAGCGTACGAGTCATTGAGGCTCACTGAGCTGACGCGCTTTCTCATCCAATCTGGCCCCGCAGTCGCCTCTGACGACAATCCCCATGCTCATGCTCACTGGTCTGAAAGTACTGGGAAGAGCGACGGCTGCTGCTGGACAACAAGCTGCGCGAAGTGAGTCGAGAATGTACCGACTAAAGGCTCATCTATGTTTTCGCTGATGAATGGTTGCTTTCAATCTCCATCGTGCCCTCGGTTCCCTTTCAACTTTTGTTCCACACATCCTGCGAACCTTATTCGCGCCGCAGATTTCAAGCACAAGCCCGAGGGAAGTCCCGACTCTGCGCCTGTGGGAGCCGGATCATCAAAGAACAAGATTACGAGTCAGCTGCAGATGAGTCTGGATGAGGCGCACTTGATTTTGAATGTGAAGAAGGATGATCCGCTGGACGTGATTCAGAAGGTGAGTCGGGTGATCATTCTCGTGCACTGGATTTATGGGTTCAGTGGAGCCGGAGTTCGTACCAAGGCATGGGATTGTGCGAGGATGTGTGTATAGGTTGTCTGTGAGCAGAGAAAGGCAGATGGCGTCGGTTGTTCATCTCTCAAGCGGGTGAGAGAGGAATCACGTCGAAAGGCAGTATCGGTGAGAAGAGAGGGTCGAACGGACGAAACGCGGGATGCGGTCGCACCTGGCATGATCTGGATCGCAAGCAGAAGAGAACGAGATCACTCTTCAGCACGCAGCAGTACATCAAGGCAGGAAGAGTGGAAAGACGCGGAAGGAATAGAAATCTTCTTGAGCGAGAATTGTAACGGTAGCGACGAGGTGCTGATACCAATTTCGTTATTTACCCTACCCACCACCATGCAGAGCTACGAACGAATCTTCGCCGCCAACAGCCCGCCACCACCGGCCGCCAAGCCCGAGGCGCACACGACACCGGCAGCAGGCAAGAAGGCAAGCAAAGCGCCGACGCATTCCCATTACTTGCAATCTAAAGTGTTCAGGGCGTTGGAGAGAATAAAAGCCGAGCGAGGGGATGCAGAGGGCGGTTCCGGGCAACCTGTGGGCGAGGGTGAGCCCAAGACTGTGCCGGAGGGAGCGACGGTGACTGCTACTCCGCCGCCGCCTGGGTCATCTCCGTAGAGGGGCGAGCAGGGTGGACCGGAGGCGGAGGCGGAGGTGCGGGCGCGACAGTCATTCTCATCATTTACCATAATCACGACTAGACTCGTGTTTTATCTTACATATTTCATCATGCATGGATCACCCCTCTCGGCTTTGTCGATCAGTCTGTATATATAGGATGGCACACAGTTTGATCGCCGGGGCCGCACAATGGCAAGCTGTACGAGGATGAGAACCCGAATGCTCATTTCCGATCGCAGCCAAGCGCTTCGTTCTGCGGTGTCCGCTGAAGCAGTGAATTGAGTCGCTGCTTTCCTGCAACTGATATTTCGAAGTCCTCGGCAACGTGAAGCGGGCAATCTGTCCTTCATGCACGATGAGACTGGGATGTATTATCGGTTGTACAGCTCTTCATCACCACCATACGATCAGTTTTCACACGGTGGTCAGGCGCGTACACGGTGAATCCGAGGACCGTGCGTCATTTCAAAGTCGAGTTATGAGTTTTGGCTCAACGCGTCCGGTCGATAGCCTGTCCACACAACGTTGCAGAATTGATTCCCCTCCTCCTCTTCTTCTTCTTCCTCCTCTTCTCCTCTGGAACACAGCCCTCTAAAGTAGAGGCCCCCGCTTCAGAATCCACCCCGCCAGGCCCGCACTCCCTCTGACATGTCGTCCAACGCATATCAACCTCAGTCGCAGGCGCCCTCTTCGCCAAGCCAAAGCACCCATCAATCAGACCGACCCGAGTCCGCCCTATTCGACTTCTCCAAGTCCAGCCCGCACGATGCCGACGACGCCGAGCTCCTCGATAATATCGACTTGAACGCTTCGCCAAATCCACAAGCGTCGTCTGCGCAAGAGTCAGAAGATCTCTGGCGCCGCTCGACTTCTTCCTCCTCGAGGTTCTCGTTACCTTCGGTCACCAGTACCAGTGGGAGAGCTAGCCTGGCCAGCTCGTCTAGACCTCCGATGTCTTCCAAGTCGAGCGTCACTTCAGCTTCAACGGCCACGTTGCTGACTGGTGGGACAGGACCTACGCCGCTCGTGCTGGGTTTAGCGGTGGTAGACTTCAATCATCTAGTGGGTTGTCCTCAACTCACCATGAACAGTGAGACCCAGTTTTCGTACTTCGCTTACCTATCGTCCAATATAGATCGGACCCACCGTCGAGTTCTCGTATCCTCCTTCACTCCAACTGGCTCTACAAGATGATGAGGATTGGGCGAGACTGTTACCCTTCCTTGCATTACCGGATGGAGCGCACTTAGTGGGTGATCTGATTTCATCAGTTGCCGTGTGCCAGATACTCATGTATGGGCCTTCAACTGACATTGAGACTCACTTGTAGAGCGAAGAAGACTACTCCTACTTCGTGAGTCAGCTCACGTCTTGCCGAAACCTACGCAATAGCTGATGTACACATCTCCCTTAGCACTGCACGTACTCACCCTCGGGCGGACAAGTGCCGACGGATGTACCTTCCTCGCAGACTCTCTTTGGAATATCGTAAGTTCAGCTGATGAAATCGCTATAACTGGACTGCACAGCTGACGCGTCATGCAGCTGCAATCGCCAGCTTGCGTCGTCGGAGCTGATGAGACGGCCGAGCGATGTGACAAGGAGCATGGTGCAGAAGGCGATCGTCGTGATAGCTAGCCAGCCTGTTTTTGTGAGTTGCTCGAAGGCCTTTCATTCGTCAGAAAATGGCTGACCAGCTCATGTACAGGGTCCTATACGGTTTGTTCGCTCGCTTTGACGTGTCATACGTGGGAGGTATGCTGATCGGTCCATGGCTAGTGATCGTCTGGGCATTGTCACCAGAGCTTACTTTGCTCAGAAGTGAGTTCTCACTTCGGTCAGCTGCATGAGGCACATCAATCAAGCTGACAGTATCATTCGCAGGGACTTCACTCAGACGGAAATACTGGAAGACTTTTACGAGAGCCTTGAGAGCAGTCTAGAAGGGAAGAGCGGGGAAGGATCGATCTACATGGGTGAGTTACAGAGCTATATTTCCCTTGTTCGAGGTATCTGCTGACTTTGAGCACAGGGACGAGCCTGAGAGAGCTGGTTCACAAGTTCAGACATCGGACGCTGGTCTTGCTAAAGCTGCTCATGCTGCAGAAGAGGGTAAGCTGTTTCATACTGCTATAGTCAAAAGCTTGCTAATTTCGGGACCACAGGTGATGCTGTACGGCTATCCAGTGGAAAAGCTTTGCACGTACCAGTATTCGCTCGTCTCGCTGATACCCGGTTAGCTTTGACCCTCGTTCATGCACATAGCGAGAAAGCCAGCTGACCTTGTCAATAGGACTTTTGATGAGCCTCCGGGATTCTGGCGCTCCTGACCTGGACGCCAAGAAGACCCGCGTCAGGCCAACATCGTTGAGAACAAGCGATAGGTCGAGCTTATTAAGGTATATGGGATTGCGTGAGTGCTGCTGAAGTGCATCCTTGTCTATGACAAAGATCAGCAGCTCATTGTATGGTATTCACAGCTCTGCACATCTTCGGCAAAGACGCCTTCTTCCAGCCGTATATGCCGCTACAACAAATCGAAATGCTCCAGGCCAACAGCTGGCTGGTCGGCACGACAAATCAAATCGTCACGCAGCAGAAGGATTGCCAGTATGATCTGCTGGTCAACGTTAGTCAGCTCTGACGCAAGCAAGCACTACGAAGCTGAACTTCATCCCTTTTTAGATCGACACGAACACATTCGAATTCACAGAACCCAAGCTCGAGAGGCTGGTAGCGTTAACGCCAGCGGACAGGAAGTGGATGGATGATGTCGTGCGGACAGTCGAGGAAACTTGGAACATGGTGAGTAGCTATGAAATCATACGCCGAGCTTCAGGTCAACAGCTCATTTTCCGTTCATGCACAGGCCGAGGGCGAACGTCCAGGGTGAGCTATGGGATAGAGAGTTTTTCGAACTTCCCCCAGCAGCTTACCAAAACGATTCTTATAGCTTTAGAGGTAGCGACGATGACCTACGGAATCGGTTCGAAGAGTACATCTGTGCAGCTTTGTCATCTATTAAGTACGCCGACTTTGTCTCAAAGGCGAAGACGTCGGATATATCGATCGTGGGAGTCGGTAAGTCAAGTCAAATGTTTCGAACCCGAGAGGATGGGCGCCGGAATCACAGCTGACCTATACAAGGTGGCCCAGCGGGAGACTCGATGATCCTCCAGCCCTTCTCGGAACAATGGGTAGCAGCATTCAGGAAGACGTCGGCGTATGAGATGTGGAATGGGTGTACGGATCCAGCGCTGTTTGACATCT